TCTAGTGGAAATTGCTCAGTTCTGCCTCCAGGGCAAGACTCATGACAATAAATGTCAACCTGTGTCTGAAATACCACAACTGACCTTTACCCAGCGCTTGGAGTATGAATACTAATGTTTCTATTCACAACACTGACTTCTGCTTTCCATTACTAGCAGAATAAGATGTTTAAATGCATGTGGTACAATAACTAACGTATTGTGTGTAGATTTCTAAATGTAAAAAAAGCCTAATACTGCAGCTGCTGCAGTTGTGAATTTAGTGCAGTGTAAAGGAAACTACTTTTCAGTGGATCTTTCTCACCGTCCATAGGCCTCAGAAGAATCCAGAAGAATCCTTGAGGACATTTCCAGAAACAGATACATGGGTTTGGTTTCAATCAGCAATTAACTTGTAAAACACAGCCTCAAATAACCTATGTACCAAGCTATCGCTCTCTGCATGGTGTTCGAGGCTGGACCTCTGGTTGATCTACCTGCACATTTGCTAGTGAAATTGACCCAACTATAAGCCCCAAACCTGTAAATCCAGTTCTAAAATGACAGTTTCTGCTTTAAATACTGTATACTGCTTCTCTAAACCGTTTCCTATCTATCTTGGCTGGATGGTCTATTTTCATTCACAACAGCCTTCTCCATTGGAAGTGAGAGCAGGGACCAGACAGGCTAAGCCAGTACCCAAGAGGGAGAGCAGAGGGAGGGAGGAAGGAAGGAAGACGGTCATTGCTGGACACCTGGACCTAGCAGAAACCCATCAACACCTCTTCTTCATGAAGTAAAACTCAGCCAATATCTTTTTTTGTGACAACATGCACCACGTGGGCCATTTGTTTGATTGACTCTTGAGGAAGTCTTGGGGCATTAAAACGTGTTCCAAAAACCCCTACATTTTGGGATGTAAACAGCATCGATGAGCGAAAAAGCACGAGATAGGGAATGCTGAGACTTGATGAGCCTATGTGGAATATAATGTATGTACCACAGGAGGCTGCTGAGGGGAGAACGGCTTATAATAATGGCTGGAACGGAGTGAATGGCATCAAACACATGGAAACGATGGAAACCATGTGTTGGATGCATTTGAAACCATTCCCCTATTTCGCTCCAGCCATTACCACGAGCCCATCAGCTAATGATAAGCTCACCGTTTAGTCATTTTAAATAACATTTAATCCAATAGCAAAACATACAAGATTCAAATTTCTATTTGAAGTGATGAATAGAAAGAATAGTAGATGGTAAATATTTTCCATAAAGTATTTGACTATAACTTCACATGCACACATTTTTGGGGGAAACCATAAAAAAAGAAAAAATGGTATCCAGTGGCAGGTTGTGAGCATTTTGAGAATTATGTCAGTCTTACGGTTTCATTATCCTTATACATTATACGTAGGATGTGAGTGATTAGATGCAGTGAACAAGTGACATTGTGAATGTGTTTGTTGTACTCAGTCAATTGAAAATGTGCTTAGAGTTTTGAAACATGAGCCATTTTGATGATCTGTTTAGATATCTGTGCTTAGAGGTGTGAAAATGTACCACATAGTTGTGAAAATTGCTCCAAATTCATTGAGAAAAACTATGTGTTTCTCTTTTAATCATCATTTTCTTATATCTTATGGAAATTGCACTGCAATTCAGTTTTATTGTAAACTGCCAAAGTGCTCCATTGTGGCACATTTTTCATATATGTCTAATATGAAAAAACAATTGGATTTAAGCTGATTGGGCTCCTTTTACTTTGACACAACGTTGCAATATGTATGTCCAATATGAATAACAGATTGGATTAAATCTGATTGGCCACTCTTTAAGGGCCACAAAATAAGCAGCGACGCTCCTTGGGGTGTACACTCTGTGGATTTGGAAACTAGAAATGCACCTGAGTAGAATGGATCCCCCTTTTACTTTGAAACACTGTACAGGCAATTATGTACAGTCCAATAAATAATGAGATTACACACAAAAAACAACAACATTTTGACCATTTAGGCTTGAAAAATAAACAAATAAATCACATAATATCTTATAGAAATACTTTAAAATATTTTTTGTATGATAACTAGTATAAAATATATTGACGATTGTGCACATTTTCCATAATTTTTTCCCCTAATTATTAATTTACAAAGTATACAGGAAGAGTAGCTGGAACCCAGGAAGGCTTTTGCAGTGGCTAATAAATACCAAATACTGGACGGAACTGTTATTCTGAAGGATTCAATAAATCTGTGACCCGGAAGTGCTTAGTTATTCTTCCCTTCTTCCTCTCTCACTGGTCTTTTATCAATTCGATTTCCTCACCTCCTACGTCCTCTCTCATCTGTCCTCTCTCGCCTCCTTTTGAAAAAGGGCAAAGGTAATCCAGGAGAGTTGCCGAGGAGAATGAATGTGAATGGAAATGAACTTGCTTGAAATGAACTGAAATGGGCCTTTTCCGCTTGGTGTCCTTAGGCAAGCGATGTTTAGGAGTGCATCACAAAATAAATGTGTAAAGTGATCAAAACAAATTAAGTTAGTTGTGCAATACATTTTTATAGATAAATAAATAGCATATTGTTTTTTTCCTCTGACAAAACAAAAGCTGATTCAAATGGGGTGTGGCTGATTTAAAAACTCTTCCACGTTAGGATACACGAGTATCATCGATGAAAGGTGGCTATCGAGGAGGGGTGGACACTTCTATTTGCCTACAAGCGAAATTACACACTCCTCGCCCACTCGTCCACTTATCGGTCACGGAGTAGAGAGGATGGAGGACAGTCTTTTGCCCTCCTGTCAGCGGTAAATAGCACCCGTCTCATATAACACGTCACTTTCCGCAGCACCTCAAAGCAAAAAAACTTTTTTACACAACAACCATAATGCTCATGAAACACACATTTTGTAAATGTAAATGTAAACATAAAATAGGTATATCGCACTAAAGATGGTGGATAAATGAAGATAGTTCACTCAGGCCGTTTACAATTAAAATAAATTGTCAGTTCACTGGGTGTGGCTCCCATAGACACCAATGCAATAGCTGCTGGGTCTGGTCTACTTAGTTCATTGACTTTCATTGAACCAGAAAAAGCCAGAGAGTGGGATGTCTCGCTTCCTTTTCAGTGTCTGATCGCAACACTCATGCAGCGTTCATAACCAAGGGGGAAGGTGGTATTTACCACATACAACTGGGAAAAATCCATTTGAACGCCCCTCCAACTGATAATAACTATTGTGAAACTCGTCTATCATCCCTAAGCTCCGACTTCTGTCACACGCTGACCTCTGACGTCACCCACTAAGGAAATTACCTCGATAACAGCATTTTCGGCAGTTAAATGCAGCAATAAAACATTATTTAAAAAAGCAATCTATTCATATGTTTTTTTAACACTATAATTTGTTTACAGCATGCTAGCTGTACTTTTAGTTTATGGTTGACGCTGCTTGTTGACCATTAGCCAATCGGCGTTTCTCAACGAGTTCAAAGCATGTGAATGCATCCAACTGGTATGTACGACTTCACAACTGGTAATTACCATCTTCCCACTTGGTTCATATGCAGCATTACTCCGTTTCAGATGAGAGCCATGAAGATAATTTGTAGGGGTTGTGCTGTGTTGCTGTGCAAGTGAGTTGCATTCTGAGGATGCTGGCTTTAATTTAATTGTTTGGGGTGTGGTCAATTGTTCTAAGAAGGTATGTTTGTTTAAGTTCAAGTTTAATTAGCAGTCAATACAATGTTTATTTACCTGTATCAGCTTTTGTTTATTTAACTGGCAGAATGACAGTGGTACACTAACCCAAAATGAACTTTTAGGCCTTTCCCTAACCTTAACCCTTACCTTAACCTCACTGAAACTATATCCTAACTTAACCCTAACCTTAATTTACTTCGACCCCTATGCCGAAACTGAATTTTCTTCTGCCGGTCAATATCCAGTCCACTTCCTTTAAAGATGCACTCCAGCTATTTTTGAACTTTTCCTTTTGAAAAACAATATCCAACGTATAAATAGATATCCCACACTTAAGGGTAAATAACATGTTTTGAGCAAACTTTATGGAGGGGGCCATTCAAGGAGTTGGTGTGATGGTGCCTTCTGATGCCATCGCCCTCCCCCTTGCTTGAGGAACAATAGAAAGGCAATAGAGAACAAAAGAGGAAAGCCCCTCCCTCCATCCATTTGTGCTGTAGTATGTCATGAGGATACCTGGGCCACCTATTGAGATTTGCCTTTTGTTAAGTCAATCAGGTGATAAATGAGCTGAAAAGGAGACTGGAGCAAGACTTTAAAGGGGCAGTCTGGGATTCAAATAACCACAAAGCCACACCCCGCCTCTTTTTTGGTATGCGGCTGAGGGATGGGGCAGAGGAAATGTAACCATGTTTTTTCTGTGGTAGACAGTGTTGTAACTGGGCACCTTAAATAATTCCTTCCTCAGGAAACAGTGAGGTGAGTCAGTTTTCCCACCAGAAAAGAGTAGCCTATAGACTGGACACTGGACAGCAGTAGCACCAAATAAGGGCACAATTTATGTGATTCCATAAATGACTTGTACAGAGGATATTACGTTTCATGTAAAGAACACACCTTATTACCATTTATTTCATCATTGTATTGTGTTAAGTTATGATCAGTGTCCAGTAAATGCCAACCAAAACAGTGACCATTTAATAAACCAGATCCATGACAATCATACATATATGAGTACACATTTAGTAGATTCCTTTGGACAATAACCCTCATTGGATCATAGTAGAGAGGTTTGTGTTTCTTCAAGCAAACATTATTGTCTATCCATATCATTGAGCATGTCCAAGCTCACAAATAGAAAGCGGTCAAGTTACATGGGGGGATTGGGGTTGGTTCATCATGGAAATCAACATGAGTTCTCAATCTCATAAGAAACACAACATATTTGTACAACAAATACTCTGTCTAATCTGAAAATAAATGCGATGCAAGGCTCTCTCTCTCTTGCTTACAAACACATAGTAAAACACAGCTGTCACACACACACACACGCAAACACACAAGCAAACACACAAGTGAACACACACTCACACAGGGACATATGGTATATTAGCATCAGGCTCTTCATTTTCACCTCAAACGTCAAACATATCCAGTTATTGTAGCACCCATTGACAACCCTGGAGTCAGTCAGTCTGCTCATACACTTGGACCCATCCATTCTCTTCTTACGTGCAGGTCTCCTGGTAGGCTCTTATAATGCTCTCATAAGCAGGAGGTGGGGTCTGTGCGGCATAGAACCTCCTCAGACTACTACTGCTCCATAACGACTCAGGCCTGGGCGGGGTGGCAGCAGCCTGGGCTGCGGTTTGGTGGGCTGACTCAGCTGAAGTGGTCAGGGTTGGGGTACGAGGCAATGTGGTCTGGCTCCCCTCCTCAGCTTCCCGGGCGATCTCGCTGCACTGGAGGAGTGGGTGGAAAGTGGAAGCCCTGAAACTGGGCTTGCGACCCAAAGGGTCAGCCTGGTCTGGGGAGGAGGCCTGGCGGTGGAAGCTGAAGGCAGCGCTGACCAGGCTGTTGCTGCGTCGGTCGTAACTGCTGTTGCGGTTGAAGCCTGGGCGGGCATGTGGGGAGGTGTGGGACAGGCTAGGTGGCCAGCGGGTGATGCTGACCGAGCCGGCCCTGCGACGGGACATCCAGGTCAGGACTACATAGACCAGCGCCCCCAATAGGATGCCCACCGCAATGGACACACAAAAGGCTATGATCAGGGGGACTGGTAAGGAGAGAGACGGAAGAGACTGTTAGTTATCTCTTGGTTTGAGTAAGAGTTTTTGGACACAGGAGAGGTTTGTATGAAAAGACCTGAATAAAACTCTATTATCTAACAACATACACAAAAGTATGTGGACACCCCTTCAAATTATTGGATTCAGCCACACCTGTTGCTGACAGGTGTATAAAATCGTGCACACCGCCATGCAATCTCCATAGACAAACATTGGCAGTAGAATGGCCTTACTGAAGAGCTCAGTGACTTTCAACGTGGCACCGTCATAGGATGCCACCTTTCCAACAAGTCAGTTCGTCAAATTTCTGCCCTGCTAGAGCTGCCCCGGTCAACTGTAAGTGCTGTTATTGTGTTGTGGAAACATCTAGGAGCAACAACAGCTCAGCTGCAAAGTAGTAGGCCACACAAGCTCACAGAACGGGACCGCCGAGTGTTGAAGCATGTAGCGCATAAAAATCGTATGTCCTTGGTTTCAATACTCACTACCGAGTTCCCAACTGCCTCTGTAAGCAACGTTAGCACAAGAACTGATCGTCCGGAGCTTCATGAAATGGTTTTACATGGCCGAGCAGCCGTATACAAGCCTAAGATCACCATAAGCAACGCCAGCGTCGGCTGGAGTGGTGTAAAGCTCCCCGCCATTGGACTCTGGAGCAGTGGAAACTTTTCTGGAGTGATGAATCACGCTTCACCATCTGGCAGTCCGACAGATGAATCTGGGTTTGGGGGATGCCAGGAGAACGCTACCTGCCCGAATGCATAGTGCCGACTGTAATGTTTGGTGGAGGAGGAGAAATGGTCTGGGGCTACTTTTCATGGGTCGGCTAGGCCCCTTAGTTCCAGTGAAGGGAAATCTTAACGCTACAGCATACAATGACATTCTAGATGATTCTGTGCTTCCAACTTCGTGGCAACAGTTTGAGGAAGGCCCTTTCCTGTTTCAGCATGACAATGCCCCCGTGCACAAAGCGAGCTCCATACAGAAATGGTTTGTCATGTTCGGTGTGGAAGAACTTGACTGGCCTGCACAGAGCCCTGACCTCAACCCCATCGAACACCTTTGGGATGCATTGGAACGCCGACTGTGGGCCTAGTCACCCAACATCAGTGCCCGACCTTGCTAATGCTCATGGCTGAATGGAATCAAGTCCCCGCAGCAATGTTCCAACATCTAGTGGAAAGCCTTCCCAGAAGAGTGGAGGCTGTTATAGCATGAAAGAGGGAACCAACTCCATATTAATGCCCCTGATTTTGGAATGAGATGTTCGACGAGCAGGTGTCCACATACTTTTGGTCATGTAGTGTATTATAGCCTTATTAAAAAACTCACAACTGAAGCGTTCATTAGTAATAGTGTGGTTCATAGTATTTTGAGAAAATGGCATGCCATCCTCCAGCACTGAGCAGGTAGTCTTAACATTTCCCCCTGCCCTTTGGAGGGAAAGATTTTCAATTTTCAATCAACCCAGCCTAGACATGTACTGCCAAGCCCACAAGTAACTATCCTAATATCAACCACGCGGTTATGACGATGAATTAATGCATCTCTGTCAAGACGGCACCCCTCAACAAAATAATCAGTCCTTTCTCTGTGCTGTTTATGAGGCCAAGTCCTCCAGAGACATAAAACTGGTTACATCTCCTGGAATGTAGGGGTTTAATTAAGGATCAGCACAAATTAAGGATCAACATTTTGTTGTCTTTGACTTGCTCCCTGAGATGCTATGGTCACCATATGCGTCTCTTTGAAAAGAGAGAAAGGAACAGAGGACAAATTCCAGTGTACCACTGCCAGCAAAAACAAATACATTTCCTTTGGTACAGTTAAGTTTTATAAAGTGTAAACCTACTCTGCTACCTCTACATAGTTTTTCATTGTTGGAAAAGGGAAAAGCAGACATGAAGTCAGTTTTCATCTGGAAATTACATTTGGGAGGACAGAGGAAAAAAACACTAACAGAGAGGAAGCTTTGCAATATTGCTAATTTTATGGGTCTGTCCTTGTCTTGTGTCTATATACTAGACTGTCAGCACCGATAAATGCTGTTTGGAATGCATGTTTTCTTTTCCTGAGAAAATATTCAACTACAGTACTCTCATCACCATTAAACCCCTACATTCCAGTGAAAACAGATAAACCACAACAAAGGAGCAGAGGAGTAGCTGAGAGAGGGAGTTGAAAAAACTCACCAACATCAAATGACTGGAGTATTTCCAAAAAGAGATTGGTGTTGTTTTCGGCCATATTTTCTCGGCACTGTAAGAGAAGAAGAGGAGAGAATGTTACGCATCCAGTAGCTTCTCTCTCTCTCTCTCTCTCTCTCTCTCTCTCTCTCTCTCTCTCTCTCTCTCTCTCTCGCTCTCTCAGACAGAGGAACTCAACCACACAGGATTCCCTCCAAGGCCGGGCTGGCAGCTCTTTTGTTTATGGAAGTGGAAAACTTCACTGTCACATTTCCTGCTTTTCTGCGTAAAATTCGCAATGGGGCTTTCTTATCTGTCCAGGACAGAGTTCCTCAATGAGAAGACACAATGTCAACCCCCCTGTCCCCATCCTGTCACCGCTTTCATCATGGAATAGTCAGCTACAATCTCAGATTTCATTGCAGTTTCTCATTTTCTCCATTCCACCACAGAGACCAGGCGACAGTTCCCTCAAGAGAAACACCAGAATTAAAACCTTGGGTCTGAACATCGAGGCTGGAGCCGAAACACCAACTGTTAATAGAAACTAATATACAACAAAAAAGTAATAGCATATATATTTTATATATCTAAGCGTGCGTGCTCTGGTTTTCCAGACCCTTTGAAAGTATTGTAACTTCTTTCTTTCCAGAATGTCTTCCAATACAGTAGTGCCTACATGGGCCATCCAGGCCTGCGTCGGTCGTAGAGGTCCAGTAAAAACACTAGGCTCTGATAAATGTACAGCAGTGGTTCCCAACCAGGGGTACTAGGACCCCTGGGGGTACTTGGCCTATAGTATGAAAATGTATGCACTCACTAACTGTAAGTCGCTCTGGATAAGAGCGTCTGCTAAATGACTAAAATGTAAAATGTACACAGGGGGTACTTGAGAAGACTCATGAGACCATAGGCCCAGGCATGTGCGCAGATAGGGCTCTACCTGTGCAGAGCACATACCCCTTTACACTTTCAGTCTCCAAAGTGCTCTTTTGGTTGGTGGTATAACTTTTTTAGTATATATTTTTTGTCATTGTTGTTCGGAACACACTGCCCGCAAGTCGCCATCAAGTTTGTCACCCCCCATCCTGTCCGTTGGTTGCGCCTGTTGATCTACCCTGTACGGAGCTCGCGCGCCAGGTTGTGCCTTTTTCCCATTCTGCCCTGTACTAAGATTGCTAGCGCCTGGTATCCAACATACATGTAACCAATAAAGTAGACAGTAAACAAAAAAGTTTGGGAACCACTGATGTACACTCTTAGAAAAAAAGGGTTCCAAACGGGTTCTTTGCGGAGGGATACCAAGAACCATTTTGATCTGAAGAACCCTTTTTGGAAGACAATGGTTCTTTGTAAGAACCGTTTTTGGAAGAAAGGGTTCTTTGATGATTCTTTTGAAGGCAAGAAGGGTTCTTTGGAAGGCAAGAAGGGTTCTACATAGAACCATATATCATATTTCCCAACATGCTCTATTGCAGGATGATTTTCAGAATTGTTTGTTTTAATATCTGTGTTTTTGCATTGATTGATTAATTTTATGCTACACAAAGATAAATAGCATACATTTATCTCAACTAATCCAATATGTTAGTAGTTGAACTTATTTCATCCATTACTGAGATGGTTGCTTTAGTTTAGATGATTGAGGTAGTCTCAGTATTCAATCTTCCCTACCCTGGCAGTCGTTCTGAATGTGGGTTGCAGGAGATAAAACAAATCCACTTGGATATCCTAACTCTAGCTGGATTCCAAGAGGAATTAAAGATAACTTAGCAAGCCAGCATAATGTGACTTGCAGGCCTGATGTGGAGTTTCCTAGCACCACTGTGTTACGGTATAATTAGGCCCTCAAAGAAAGGCCCTATGATATATGTGGTGCTCTGTAGCTCAGCTGGTAGAGCACGGCGCTTGTAACGCCAAGGTAGTGGGTTCGATCCCCGGGACCACCCATACACAAAAATGTATGCACGCATGACTGTAAGTCGCTTTGGATAAAAGCGTCTGCTAAATGGCATATTATTATTATATATGTAATGTTTTGTCATAAATAATCAGTCCCTTGTCCCTTTCACTCTGGCCTTTGTTATTCTCTCCCTCCGATCTAAGAGGACTGGATAGGTGAAGGAAATACTTTGACTATGCCTAGCCCTACAAGAAGGCTAGGTGGAGCTATCAGCATATTGATTTGACGATCCAATCTATTCAGATACGCTAAGGTGGTCAGACGAAAAGGAGCAAGCTTTCTAATTGGAATGCAGCCCTTAGTATAGCAAGGAGCCTCGTGGCCCGTCCTGGCCCTGTGGGTCTTTCTCCCTGCCCTCCCTCGGCCTCCACTGACAGAGAGAGGGCTGGGTCTCGGCAGGGACTTCCTCTCATTGTTACCCTGTGTCTCAAACTTGTCCAAAATAACAAGCAAACACCCATTACACTCTGTCAGATGGTATGCAGAGGCATTGTGTCCTGTATAGGGAGTGACTTGCCTCTACACTCTCCTTCCCTCTAATGACCAATGGCCCCCGTAACCTGGTGGCCTTCTCTCCTAGGCCACAATCTCGCCCTGTAGCTGCCTCCAGCAGCCCCCTCGTCCATGCCGTGTGCCCCCCCCCAAAAAAAATGTATTGGGGTTGCCTCTCGCCTGTCCGACGACGGCCCAGTTGGCGCCGCTTCTCCTCTCCTGCCTGGGTCTCCCCCTTCATCGCCCTCCGGTAACGGACGGCCTCCTCCTCCGTTATCCTCCCACAACCGGGGAGGACATCTACCAACGTTACCTCCGGCGTTTGCTCCTGGAAACGCTGCTTGGTCCTGTTTTGGTGGGATCTTCTGTCACGATCGTCGTAATGAGTGGACCAAGGCGCAGCGTGAAATGCGTACATCTTTTATTGAGTACTATTAACAATAACAAAACAACAAAACGAAACGTGAAGTCCTCGGTCATAAACACAAACCTACACGGAACAAGATCCCACAAAAGACAAGTGCACAACAGGCTGCCTAAGTATGGTTCCTAATCAGAGACAACGAGCCACAGCTGTCTCTAATTGGGAACCACCCCGGCCAACATAGAAACACATAAACTAGAACAAGAACATAGAAAACAAAACATAGAACCTAACACCCAGAAATTAACACATAGAAACTAACACCCTGGCTCAACATGTAAAAGTCCCCAGAGCCAGGGCGTGACAATTTCTCAAAAGTTGTGCTCTTCTGTATTGCTCTTAGCAGAATTTCTAGAGAGTATCGGTCTAAGATTTGATCGTTATTGAACCCTTTGTTACCCTTGTGCTCTGACACTTTTTGTGGGTTGGGTGCAGGAACGTAGCGATTGGGTTGATTGTAGCGGTAGTCGTTTCGCTGGCAACGTACTTTACAGTTATTTATACCGCGGTGGATATTGGTATTGTGGTTTCATGGTAGAAACCATTGTTTTGCGTCATCTCTCAACGCTCCAATACTTGATAACGCACCCCCTAACTGGAGTGAGTGCTCCTGTTCAATCTTCAAACCCGAGATTACAGGGCTCTTAGCGTCACGCACTTTTGATGCCTCAAAAGCTGTGCTCGCTAGCTCTCTGAGGTCTGAGATTGGCAAACCAATGTGGGCTGTAGGACCCAAGTAGGTAATGAAGGTGGGATACGTTTGACAGAAACATTTGTTTGAATGGTAATAGTTCTTCCATTCCTGTTTCAGTGAGTAAGCCTAAGTAAGCAGAATGAAGCCTATGATAGTAAGTAAGCTTGTGGGTGTTCATTCCGAGCTTGTTTGACAGTGTTAGCCAGCGAGCTGTCGTGTTTACCAGTCGCAGAACCACTGAATTCTATTTTGAAAGCCGTGGCAAGTTTAGCGTAATCGTTTTGCCCGTGTTGCTGACGAATGAACGTTGTCACTTGTCTATTCAACGTTCGCTTCAACAGGTAAAGCCTGTCAGTATCCGTAGCGTTCGGGTAGACATCCAAGGCGTCCTCTATGTCTGCTAAGAACGTCTCAGTGTCGTTTGGCTTCCCTGGAACGGGGTCAAAGGTGCGGACGTTTTTGACGATTTTGTCAAGACGTTCCATGCCAAGTGCACGGAGAGGTTTTGCTTCATCCTGTGGGGAAAATTTGGTTCAAGTTCAAAATCATGTTATCAAGTTGTGCACCCCTGTTTGTAGATAACTTGTCAGATTTATCAAGATTTGCGTGGACTTCATCGTATTTAGTTTTTGTAAATTGAGTTGTTCCTGTAGAAGACGATTTTGTTGAAGAGATTGTGCTCATTTTTGTCATTACTTTTAATTGTTCCATTTTCAAACGCAGTTCCACGGCTAGCAGTATTTTCCACCTATCCCTTCATGTCAACCGTTTCTTACTCATGCTTCAGCTGAGCACTGCGGTACTGGAGAGATGCCAATCTCTGCTGGCGACCATACATCAGGGCTAAACTGGAGAGAACCTTTACAAGGCCTGCGACTGACGGTTTATTTTGGAGGGCGTTTGTCGCAATTTCTGCTGTTTTTCCGCTAATGGCATAGTTAGGGTTTATATTGCTGCTGAGGTCAGAGATTAATCATTTTATGGGTGAGGGTTCACTAATTAGCGGGGGAGTGGGGACCACCCCCTCTGATAGCTTGCACATAATTAAACATTTTATTTACAAAAACGACCATCAATAATGGATCAGTAATGTGGGAGTTGGACTTTAATGAATTTGCAAAACCACATTTAATTGATTAATCAATGTTAAAGATTAATCATACCTGTATAGGCTATCTGGGAATTAAACTTTAATTAACCTGAAAGCGTCACTGTATCTAGGTTAATGTGGAAAAGTTTAAAATGTCTCATTGGTTGGAACAATTTAATGATCCTTATCCAAATGATCAACCTGAAAAAGGTTTGTTTGGCAATTTAACTTCCTTGTTAAATCGAATGAAACAATGATATCCAAATCAGTTGAGGTTGGTCAGCTATCATACAGTGTAACCCGTTGTTACAAAATATAAGAACACGTTTTGCCCTCACATAGATTTTTTTTTCTCCCCCAAAAAATATACTTTCACTGATCGCAGAAAGCTGAAATCAAACAGGAGTCTAGAGGAGGCGGAACTTTCGTAGCCCAAAACGCAGGATTTCGCCGTGAACAAAGCAAAATGACTGCTCTCCCTTTGTTAGCTTAGCATCTAATGCAAGCTAGCCTGTCATTT